AGACAAGAAAGGAGTAACATCCGCCGCGCTCTCGAACTCACATGCTCCATCGCCGCCGGCGCGTGGGAGGGCGACACGCACGAGCTGCAGCAGGTCGCCCATATTGGCCCCAAGAAAATCGAGATGCTCGAGGCCGCCGGCATCTCGCCCGTCCGCGCCCTCGCCGATACCGAGTTCTACAACATTGATCGCATCCTGAAGCGGAACCCGCCCTTTGGCATGAACACGGTCCTCCAGCTCAAGGCCTTCCCCCGTCTCCTGCTGAAGGCCCGCTTCGAACGCTGGGCTGCCAAGTCCGACATGCCCGCCATTGACGCCCTGCCCGAGAAGGTCGTCCGCGCGCTCGCGCCGGGCCTGCGCCTGGCCATCGTGCGCGCGAGGCTCCGCTGCCTCAACGACGACATGCCCCTCTGGCGAGAAAAGGTGCACTAGGTGTGCGTGTCCGTGGAGAGGGGCCCGCGTCCAGAGAGCCGCCGCGTCTTCGCGGGCCGGGGGGTGGCGCAGGGCACTGGCGGCGCCCCTGGCGCTAGCGGTGCTGGTGACGTCGAACCAGGCAGCCGCGGCGAGCTCCTCTTTTTCCACCGAGTCAGCACCAAGTGCCTCATGGAGGCGGATCGCGATCTCATGTTCCCCGTCGCCATGACGCCGGGGGAGGCCATCTTTGCCTGGGCGAGCTGCGAGGAGGTGGTCGGCACCCTTGTCGAGATGGAGGTCTCGGCGCCAGAGGTGTGAAAAATTGCGCTGTCAACGGTGTGGGCGAACTAGTGACAGCTAAGGGATCACATGTTAAACACGGTCACCGTTGTGGAAGCAGTCATGTTCTAGTTGGCGTCCAATGCAACAGATGTAGGTCATGGTATTTCAGTCAAATCAGTCCACTTGCCTGGTCTTATATACACATCAGGCGCCCGGCTCTATTGTCTTTTTTCCCTCCCAAAACCCCATCCGCTCTTCGAAAAACCGTGTACCACCAAGTGCAGAAACAAGAGAAAATATGAGTGTCTTTATGTGTTTGTGTGTGTGTGTGTGTGTGTGTGTCGTGCTGGCCTCACCATCGGCTCGGCTGGGTATCGCATGCCCCGTTTCCCCTCTCCCTCTTTTCCTGCCGCAGATTCCAAGACTGTATACATGGGATGGACATGGCCTACTAATGGTCCCTGTGTACGTTTTTCTTTTGTACGACCTCCCGTCTCTTCTGACGACCACTCCGTCTTCTCGTGTCGAGGCGGCGTCTTTGCACAAATGAAACAGGAAGAGGCGACTTAGTCACCCCGGAACTTGCTCAGATTCCGTGCAGACGGTGAGCGTGGATAGCGCATCGGGCTCGACGGCCGCGACGTCGACAAGGCCATGCTGCGGACTGACTCGAGCGGGTCGAGTGTGGACCGTAGATCGTCACCGAGCCGCGGGGTGTACATTGGATCAACGGCGGCCTTTTGGTAGCTCGCGATACGCAATGGTGGCGGTCGACGGGCCATCTTTCGTTCGGGAGAGCTGTATAGGTAGGTTGCGAACATGACCAACGAGGTGCCGAGAATAAACTAGGCTGGGGTCAGTTATCGAGGGCTGAGGGTCGCGGGAGTCTGTGTACTTACGGTGAAGCCGAACACAAAATCAAAAAAGAGCACGCTGAAAACGAAACTGACGACAATGCTGATGCTTGCTGCAAAGTTTTGGGCAATATTGTCGGCGTAGTTGATGCACATGCTGGAGAGAACACCCCCGGCAGACTGAAGAAAGATGGCGGTCCACACGACCCAGTTATACCCGTCAAAGAATCCATGCTCACGGACTTCGGCGCCGTCCTTGAAAAAGACGCCGATAATAAGGGCCGGGAAGAGCGAGTAGAAAGAGAGCTGCACATTACGGGTCCAGATCGAGGTATTCGGTGGTGCGGCGGCATCCTTGAGAATCTTTTCAAAGTACACACCGGCGAGTCCAGAGCTGGCAGCTGCAATCAGGGCTGCAAAGACTCCAAAGGTGTAGTTGCTGGCCATTGTGCGCGCTTCGTCCTCGGCCATACCTTGGTAGGTGGCGGAGCGAGGGAGGACTAGCGGCGTGCGAGGAGCAAGGACCTGAGCAGCGCGCTTGGTCACATGGTGCGCACCGTTGGCTGCAGCCTGGCCGAGCTCGTGAACGGATCGCGGGAAGAAGTGGTCGGCATCATGGTGGAGCAGGATGCTGTTGTAGGAGGTGGAAGTTTGGTGTGTGTCGGAGTGCGGTATACAGACGATCGAGACACCAAAGGTGAGTACCAACAGTGCAAGCCATCGCTTAGGCGGGAGTGAGCGCCGCAAAATGGTGACCGAGAAGACGGCGGCTGCGAGGATCTGCGCATGTTAGCCAGTGGTGGGCCACATGCAGGGCAGATGAGCTTACCTTGAACTGGGAGAGAACCTGGAAGTGAACAGCATCGAGATTGCCCACAGCCACATACTGCAGGAGTTTTGCAGTGTATACAGAACGGCGGGCACTGCTAACCTCCA